CATAAAAAGGTCCAGGAATTTTACCACAAGGAAATGATAATTTAAAAATGAATGGTGCCGGTTTTGACAATTTAATCTCAGATTAATACATGCTTATTCACGCTATTATTTATTTAAAAAAAGCTTTGAATAAAAAGTTAACTCACATAACAAACAAAACAGCTCGGATGATAACGCCATGATTCTATTGTCTGAGCACAAGGACCTTCAATAGGTTCATCGCAATTTCTGCAGAGAGAATTATTTAGTTCGTGATAATGACGTTTACAATAAGGTGCATTCTCGAATACGTAAAAAGATCTGTCGGGGAAAGGTTTATGACACGTCTATAAAAATAGGTTTCAAAATCATTAATATATATATATAGATCATCATATAATAATTAATAAAAGATTATAAATAAATGCTTACATGACATCCAAAACAGTTCACATGCCATTTTCCCTCCAATTTGCCATCACTAGCACTCACAGCCTCTCGTTCTACTGGCAGACCGCAACTTCGGCATTTCGGTAAAAATAAATCAGCGAAATCCGAAGGACAATATATTTTGTTGTTACGTTCAACATGACCTATATTAGGATCTATAGGTTTTTCACATTGAGCACATAAAAGATGTTCGGGATGCCATGTTCTTCCAAGTGCCCACATAGGAGATGAATCAATTGTGTGATTACTAGATGATAAAATAATCGTATGTTAAATAAATACATATTTCGAAACATAATTTTGATAAAATAATTACCAATAACCGCAAATATTCATTCGAACTTGGTTGTTATTATTATAATTAGAATTGCTATGATTGCTAGTGGAACTTTTGCTACGTGAATGAGTAGGAACATCTGAAGGGGCATGATAATGTTGTTGATTTTGTTGATTGGAATATGACCCCGTGTCCATATTGTCCCATTCTTTTATTAGATCATCGATTAAATTGTCAAAACCGGCACCATTCATTTTTAAATTATCATTTCCTTGTGGTAAAATTCCTGGACCTTTTTATG